TTCGCTTCCTCTTCCAAAATTTTCTCACTTTTGAAATGTCTTAAGCTCAAGCGGGCGCCATCATATTTCGCCAACGGGATTGACCTTTGCTATAGGGTCTCACTTGTTTTGAACTTGTAACAGCTTTCACGAGCTCTCTGTGAAGTGGTGGAATCTGCTGCTGCTTGATAATTTCTAGGCATAGGTGTTTCACCATCGCACCTTCCTATTTATTCTTGCAGCTCGTTTCAACCACCCGAGAATACGAGGGATAACATCAGCTTTTTATCTGCCAGACAAGGGCCTGATTTAACTCTGTAAACAAAAGCAATTTACAATTTTCCGGGCACATGTTTGTTTACAAACAGAGCGTTGGCGATCTTACACTAGCACAATTCCTAAACCCTGTTATAATTCCTCATAAACGGCAGGTTTTACGTTACAAGTTTTCGAAAACTCCTCATTGGAGGTTTCAGAAAAAAGCGAAATCGTAGCAACACAAGCACCGGAGCTCGGCCAGACTGTAAAGTGAGATTTATTTTAGCTTTTTGACAAGTGAAGCTGACAACCCGATGGCCGGAAGTGATTTTGATTGGATGGTATTGAATCATGCTGTGTGAGGGTGGAAGGCTCCAGTAAAAGCATCTGTGTCAGGCGTTTCTCTCCTTCACCTCTCTCCCTATTTCGCGCTCTCTCCCTTTTTCGCTTCCATTTTTCCCCCTCTCCCCAGAAACGCCTGATACTCAGGCTACAAAATTTGTTGATACACTGCTACAACCAATATCAAAATCACAGAAATCATAACTTTCACTGAAAAGACAAACGTGAAAACCCGAACATTTCTTGTTTCGATGGACGTTAGGAGTCTTGACACAAACATACAGCAAAACGAGGGTATATTGAAATGGTCTGTCACAAAGCATATGAAAATTTCTACAAAGAGAACCCATTCCTACACATTACTTGCCGGAAATGCTTAGATTAATCCTCAAAGAAGATTTCTTCCACTTCAATGGAAAGCACTGCCTACAAAACCATGGAGCTGCAATGGGCACAAAGACATCAGTTTTGATTCCTTTGCCAATATTTTCATGACATCTATTGAAACAACAACTCTAAGCAAAACTGTCTTTAGAACAACAGTTTGGAAATGCTACATACACGATACCTTTTCCCTATGGGACATGAGTAAACCTGACATCGAAGCCTTCATTGAACACTTATGACAGGCTAGACCGGTTGAGGAATTTGGGTCCCCCCTGCTTAGGTAAAAATTTTTTACCTAAATCACAGTAGGAGCTGAAAGAGGAACCACACTAAAAAGAAGACAAGCCTTACGAAGGTGTTATAAGCCGGATTAATCCTGACACGTTTTAGCGGCAAATTTCCTCATTAAGGTATACGAGTTTTCTTGAACGCCTGATATGTAATACAATAAAACAATGGGACAGGGCTACTCTTTCTTTGCTGTTATATTTTTCGTGGCTAAAGGTTTCGTGCCGGCTTGGTTAAAAAATATACATCAGTAGTTATAGAAATGGTTGTCCTGGCGCACTCTTCGAATTATCAGAATTGCATTAAAAAAACTAATAAAATCCCAGAATATGCAAGGGATTTTAAAAATGAATAACTTTTTATAAGAGGTATTAATAAGGAATGTGAAAATTTTGTAAAGAGATTAGATGAAGAGGGGAAAATATTTAGTTCTCCCCAAGCTAAAAAACTTATTTTTTATTTTAATAAATTTTTAAAAGCTCAAGAACTTGATTATCTTAAAGATATTAGTGAGTTATATTTAAAAGAGAGTGATGTTAATTTTATAGAGTCTTTAGAATTAAATGTAGATGATTATATGGATATATTTTACGATCCAGATAGTTATAAGTTTGATCAGGAAAAGTATGAAAATGATAATTCAGGTTTAAAAGAGTTTTTTGAANGGCTAGACCGGTTGAGGAATTTGGGTCCCCCCTGCTTAGGTAAAAATTTTTTACCTAAATCACAGTAGGAGCTGAAAGAGGAACCACACTAAAAAGAAGACAAGCCTTACGAAGGTGTTATAAGCCGGATTAATCCTGACACGTTTTAGCGGCAAATTTCCTCATTAAGGTATACGAGTTTTCTTGAACGCCTGATATGTAATACAATAAAACAATGGGACAGGGCTACTCTTTCTTTGCTGTTATATTTTTCGTGGCTAAAGGTTTCGTGCCGGCTTGGTTAAAAAATATACATCAGTAGTTATAGAAATGGTTGTCCTGGCGCACTCTTCGAATTATCAGAATTGCATTAAAAAAACTAATAAAATCCCAGAATATGCAAGGGATTTTAAAAATGAATAACTTTTTATAAGAGGTATTAATAAGGAATGTGAAAATTTTGTAAAGAGATTAGATGAAGAGGGGAAAATATTTAGTTCTCCCCAAGCTAAAAAACTTATTTTTTATTTTAATAAATTTTTAAAAGCTCAAGAACTTGATTATCTTAAAGATATTAGTGAGTTATATTTAAAAGAGAGTGATGTTAATTTTATAGAGTCTTTAGAATTAAATGTAGATGATTATATGGATATATTTTACGATCCAGATAGTTATAAGTTTGATCAGGAAAAGTATGAAAATGATAATTCAGGTTTAAAAGAGTTTTTTGAAAGTTTTAGTAAATTTAAAGATAAAATAAAAATAGAAGAAATGACTTTTAGTGATTTTAAAGATAGTCTTAATTTTTTAGATAGTGATAGTGATAGTGATAGTGATTAAATTATAGCTTAAAGTCTTTTTATCTAATAATAAGATAAAAAGACTATCATGTCTAACCAAGCAAATGGTTTCCAGGGTTCTCAACCCTTTATAACAGATAAACAATTTCAGAATTTATCATTGGATGAAATAAGACATTTAATAGAAGAAGAGAAAGAAGGACTTAAGAAAGATTATAAGGAATTAGGTGAAAGAAAAAAATTAATTAAACAATATAAAAAATTAAAAAAAGCTAGAGAAAAAGTACGAAAAGGAATTGATATAAAAAAAACCTAAAAAATCCAAATCTAAAGGTGTTCATAAAATAAAATCATTTGATGAGTATTTTCAGGAATGTATAGAAAATAAAGAATTCCCAGCAGATACTCCTTCTTATTTTCGTGAAGCTCTAGAGAGAGCTATTAAGGAATATCATCAAGGACTTATTAAAGAAAAATCATCTTTGGAAAACTTTGCTAACAAATATGTTATTAAAGGAGAACCTGGACTATCTCCTGTTGATTTTTTAAATAGAAATTATAAAACTTTAGAAGAATTTTTTACATATCATAGAAATACAAAATTTAATATGCTTTTGGTTTGTTTAATGGAACAACAAATATTTAGTAAAGATAAAGGAGTTGTAGGGTTGAATCAAAGTAAGGCTTACTTTACATCAGGAATTCTAAAAAATTTAAAATCAACAGATGTAAATAAATTAATTGATCTTTGTCATAAAAAAATTCTTAATGATATAGATGCTTATCAAGAAAATGGAAGTGGATGGTATTTTAATGAAGTAGTTCAACTTGAAATTCATACTGTTGAGTTTAATCCAGCGAAGGGATCAACTTATATTCCTCTTCCAGATTGGATATCAAACAAAAAAGCAATAGTTAATATTAAAAACAAAGATGAGAAATGCTTTCTTTGGTGTATACTTAGATATCTTTATCCAAGAGATAGAGATGAAGAAAGATTAACAGATTTGAAAAAGTATGAAAATTCTCTTAACACCAAAGGAATTAGTTTTCCTATGAAATTAAGAGATATTTCTAAATTTGAAAAACTTAATCCATCTCTTCCAGGGATCAATGTTTTTTCAGTTGATGAAAACAAAAAGTTTTATCCTTTAAGAATGGCGGAGAGAGATTGTTTAAATACTATTGATTTATTTTTGTACGAAGAAGATGGTGTTTCACATTATTCACTAATTAAAAACTTTACTCGTTTGATTAAAACGCAAAAAACTAAAAGTAAGAATGGAACAATATTTATTTGTAAGAAGTGTTTTACTCATTTCACTAAAGAAGAATTATTACAAAAACATATCAAATATTGTTCTAACAATGAAACAGTTTGTGTAAAAATGCCACCAACAAACACACTGTTAGGTTTTAAAAATAATCACAAACAACTTCCAATTCCTTTTGTAGTTTATGTAGATTTTGAATGTTTTACCAAACCAATGAATACTTGCAGTCCTAATCCAAAAGAATCGTATAATTACAATTACCAGAAGCATGAACCATCAGGATTTTGTTTTTACATAAAAGGAATAGTAGATACTGTCTTTTCACCTATTGTTTATACTAAAAAAGAAGACAGTGATGATGTTGCTAGAATATTTGTTGATAAACTTGCAAAAGTAACTAATAAGATATATAATGATTTTTATCGTCGACCAATACCTGTTAGACTAACAAAAGCCGAACAAAAATCATTTAATGAAGCTGAAACTTGTCTTATTTGTAAGGAAGAATTACTAGCTGACAAAATTAGAGATCATTGTCATTTTACTGGAAAATACCGTGGAGCTGCTCATAATAGTTGTAATCTTCAGTGTCGAAAACCAATGATTCTTCCAGTTATATTTCACAATCTTCAAGGATATGATGCTCATTTGTTTATAAAACAACTTGCTTGTTTACCAGGTGAGTTAAACTGTATTCCATCTACGGAAGAAAAGTATATCTCCTTTTCCAAAAAGATTAAGGTTGATGAGTATAAATCTAGGCGCACTGGAGAGACTATTCCATTATATTTTGAAATACGATTTATTGATTCATTTAAGTTTCTTCAAACATCCCTTGCTAATCTTGTTTCAAATCTCCAACCGGATGATTTCCATAATACAAAAGAAATATTCAAGGAAAATGTAAACCTACTAACTCGTAAGGGAGTTTATCCTTATGACTATGTTTCATCACTCGAAAAACTATCCGAAACACAACTGCCACCAAAAGAGGAATTCTATTCAAAACTAAATGATGAAGATATATCTGATGATGATTATCAACACGCTATTAATGTTTGGAATACTTTTAAATGTAAAACAATTAGAGATTATCACGATCTTTACCTAAAGTCTGATGTCCTACTTTTGGCAGATGTATTTGAGAATTTTAGAAAAACTTGTCTCAAACATTACAATCTAGACCCAGCACATTATTATACATCTCCTGGATTAGCTTGGGATGCATGTCTCAAAGAAACAGGTCAGGAATTACAGTTATTACATGATTATGATATGTTAATGATGTTTGAAAAAGGTATTCGTGGTGGAATATCTCACATATCAAAAAGATATGCAGAAGCAAATAACAAATACATGAAAGATTATAGACCTGATGTGGAGTCTACTTATATTCAATATCTTGATGCAAACAATCTTTACGGTTGGGCAATGTCATAACAACTTCCAACACATGGATTCAGTTGGATGAAAAATATAACAAAAGAAAAAGTAATGGATATCTTGGATAAAGCAAATCACAGTATATCAAATCGTGGAAGAAAAGGATATATATTTGAAGTTGATTTGGAATATCCTTCCAACCTATGGGAAACACATAATGACTATCCACTTGCACCTGAGAAGATGATTGTTAATGGTGTTGAAAAACTAATTTGTCATTTTAAACCAAGAAAGAACTATGTTGTACATTATCGAAATTTGAGGCAATATCTTGAGATGGGAATGAGAATAACTGCTGTTCACAGAGGAATATCATTTTACCAATCTTCTTGGATGGAACCTTACATAAGAAAAAATACAGAACTTCGAAAAACAGCAGCCAACAGTTTTGAGAAAGACTTTTTTAAGTTAATGAATAATTCAATATTTGGAAAAACAATAGAAAACATAAGAAAAAGACAAAATATATTTATTATTGATGATCGTAAGAAAGCTTCAAAATTAACAAGTCGTCCTAACTTTGATAGAGCAACAATATTTGATAAAAATCTTATTGCGGTTCATATGAAAAAAACCGAAGTTTATTTCAACAAACCAGTATATGTTGGACAAGAATACTTGATCTGTCAAAAACATTAATGTTTGTTTTTCATTACAACTATATTCAAGAGAAGTATAAAGACAAGGCTGAGTTATTGTTTACAGATACCGATTCGATGATTTACCAGATTCATACAGATGATTTTTATAAAGATATATCCTATGATATTCAAACCAAGTTTGACACCTCTGATTATCTTCCTAATCATCCATCTGGTATTCCAACAGGAGTTAACAAAAAAGTAATAGGAATGTTTAAAGATGAAGTAGCAGGAAAACAGATTACTTGTTTTGTTGGATTGCGACCCAAACTTTATAGTTTTAGAATAGAAGAAGATAAAGAGGTAAGAAAGTGTAAAGGAATAAAGAAAAAATGTTGTAAAAAAGACAATGGATTTTGATGATTATGTTGATTGTTTATTTTTGGGTAAAAAGCAAATGAGAACTATGAAAATAATAAGAAGTGAAAATCATGATATATATTCAAAAGAAGTAAATAAAATAGCTCTGAGTAATGAAGATGATAAACGCATGGTGATGTTTAATAAGATAAAAACGATTGCTTTAAGATAATAAGATATTAATAATAAGATATTAATAATAAATGAGTTATACAGAAGAAGAAATAGAAAAATATTTAGAAATATTAAGAAGTTATAATACCCAACCAGAAGAGAAAGAAAATAAAAAAGTTAGATGTAGTAATTGTCAAAGCGATAGTTTCTCTATTGAATCAGGTTATAACATTTGCGATTCTTGCGGTTTAACTAATGGTCATGTTCTTGGTTATTTTGACTTGAAAGAGTACGATCGATTTCATTTTCGAAAGAAGAGTATTTATCAGAGAAAGTACCATTATGAGAAAAAGGTTAATCAAGTTTCCAGAAGACTACATCTATCTGATGAACAAAAGTGTGAACTTTACAATAAACTAATGAATATAGATAACCACGTCATGGAAATACTAAACAAACAATTTTGTAGAAAGAGAATGGTAAGCATTTTTTATTTAATCAAAAAACTTTTGGAAGAAATGGGTTGTGAAAAGAGTAAACTAGTTTATCTTAAGATTTCACCACAGACTTTGGAAAATTATGAAAAGTGGTGGAATAGTTATAAATCACTCCACGACTCCTCTGTGGAAAAACCAGTAAACAATTCCAGTTAGATAGCCAAGTACTTCACATTCTTTAAATGGTGTGTTGATTGCATAAACGCATCCTCTTCCAATTCTATAATGTTTCCAGAAAGCTCTAAAAGCGAGACTAAATATTAAGTGATTGGTTAGTATGTTTGAGTTTGAATCGAGGTAGTGTCTCGCTTCTGTTAGTTTATAAATAATTTGGTTTATATCTAGTTTCTGTGAAAAATACTTTACATAGAGAAACTGGTAAACAAGACAAGCTTTAATAAAGTTATCAGAATAAAACTGTGTTTTATAAGTTGGAAAGTAGAAATTAACATAAGCTACAATTGTACTAATCATTTTCTATTTAATGATTAGATATAAAAAGAATTAAAGATTTAATTATAATAACTAAAAATGAGTATTGTTATTTCAGAAGTATCACTAAAAAAAGAAGGTAAATTATTACTTGAAAGATTAAGAAATTTTATTAAAGAATTTAAAGATTTTTTTAGAACAGATTTTTCTGAGGAATTTTTTGAAACAATTAAGGAAATGAAAGAGGATCTTAATATAGCAGAGTCGGTTGCAATACATGAACAATTAAAAAGAGAAGGCAAACCACTTGGTGATACTTTATTTTGGTATCATGATTATGAAGCATATACTAAAGATAAATCAAAAGATAAAAAGACTAGACTTATAGAAAGAGCTCCTTCTAGATTTTTTACACCTGATTTGGAAAGTATTGTAAGAATATTAGAATTAGTAAATATAGATATGGAAATTTATGAAGATTTATACTTTGATACAAAATATTTTTTAAAAAAAATATGAATTTTATCAAGAATTAAATGAGGTTAGTAGATTGGAATAAAATATAGTTACCATTTTCTATTTAAATTTAAATAGAAAATTAATAAAGGTTTAAAGAAATAAAAATATAAATAAAATGCTTCAAAAAACATTTATTAACAATCAACTTGCAATTAAGTTCAATTCTTATATTGATTACAAATTAAGGGTCTGGTTCAAAGCCAAAGAAGTTGCTCAAATACTTGGGTACAAAAAACAGAACATGCTATAAAAAGACATTTAAGTGAAAATAATAAAAGAACTTGTTTGAGCTGCCCCCCTGAAACGGGGGGTCAGGTATTTAAAGATAAAAAAAGCTGCCCGCCTGAAACGGGCGGTCAGGTCCAAGGCAGATGGATTATATTTATCAACGAAGCAGGATTTTACGAATTAGTTTTTAAATCCAGATTACCATCTGCAAAAATGTTTCGTGAGTGGACATTTACTAAGGTATTACCATCTATCCGCAAATTTGGCTATTATAGAATGATAGATTGTAAAAAACAAAAAGTAATATTTAAAGGCGTAAAATACTAAACATCCTGTCTTTACTAGTTATGCTGCAAATAAAAATGGTGATATTTTAGTTTAAAATCTAACAAAATTTTAAGTATGTTAAAAGGAAGTAATGGTTATTTACATTTTGGATTGTGTGATGAAAAACTCGAAAAACCAAAGTCTTATCTTCATCATAGATTTGTTTATGAAGTTTTTAAGGGGTTAATAACATCATGTTTTGAAGTTGATCACATCAATAATGTTAGGACAGACAACAGAATAAAAAACCTGCAACTACTTACACCTCAACAAAATTGTGAAAAAAGTAATAATAGACCAATTATTTCTACAAATATAAAAACTGAAAAAGAAAAAAGATATATTTCTATTAAAGAAGCTGCGATTGAATTAGATATTAGTGGTGGTAATATTTCCCGAGTTTGTAGAAAAAAATGTACATTTTTAACATCTAAGAAAGATGGATATAAGTACTCGTTTAGATACTTAGATTAGATTTCAATATTGTTTTAATATTGAAACCTGGATTTTATAAACTTGTATTAAAATCTAAATTAGAAACTGCAAAAATGATTAGAGAATGGGTAAATATATATTAGTTAGCAGTTTAATCTTTAAACCCTTTTTCTTGATCTTGAAATATCTTCTAAAGTAATTTTGATACTTCTATATTTTCTTAAATCATCTAAATACTTTTCACATTTTTCACGCAATTTTGTATCAATTTCATCTTTTTTTAAAAGTCTGCTAAAAAGGCAATAAATATCAGCCTTTTCTACAAGTAAATTAAAATTATCTCCATACATCGAATCAATTTCTTCACAGATTTCTTTACCTTCTGCAGCTAAAGTTGATTCGTAACTATCAAGTAATTGTTCTTCAAATTTTTCAAAATGGTCCATTTTATTACTTGCTTAGATTAAATTTTGTATTATACCTACTAGCAAATCTATCTGCTATAGGAGTTTGATCAATTATCATTTCATCTATTAGTTTCATACGATCAACAAAATCTTGTTTATTCCACTCATCACCCCTCAGAGCTGCACGAAGTTCAACGAGTACTTTTTCATAAGTAGTAAATGCAATTCTTGACATTTCAATTTTTCTCTTATAATTCTTTTTCTTACCAATTCCCGTTACAATAACTCCAGCACCATTTACAACTCCTAGAACAACAGGGTTTAGAGTTATTCCACCAGCAATAGTTCCTATTGCTACTAGACATATTCCAGAAATTGATAACACTTCATCAACAAAATTTGTAACTCTTATAAGACTGCTTAAAACACCAGTATTTATGATAATGTTTGTAAAAGTCTTTGAGTGTTGTGACGTCTGATTCTGACAGAGATTTATCAATGTGATTAAATTCAAAGGTATCCTTCATTTATTCTTTTATTTACATTAGTGCGACGTAGCCAAGGGAGGGGGTCATAGGGGGAACCGTAGGTTCCCCTATACTATATAAGATCCACTTAACTTTTCCTGAATCAATACTTTGTGGAATTGAGTAGAGTCGGTGTCGTAAAAGTTTGGCGAATACATTAATCTAATTAACACTCCATCTTCAATTGTAAACTTCCAACGTTGATTAGTATTGTATTGAATGGATGGTATAGTTAATGTTGAGCTGTAGTTACTTATTGAAACTTTTGTAACATTTGAATGAAAATCTTCTGCCAGCCATAAAACAATTATTTTTCCATTAAAACTACCTGGCATGGTAAAATCTTGAGTTGTTTTATTAACAGTTAAAATTACTTTATTGTTTGATTTATCATAATTTAATTTTACTAAAATATTATTGTTTGTTGATAAATATTTAGTTAGGGTAAAATTCCTATTTCTCCAAAAACTAAAAACAATACATAAAGTATCTATCGGGGAATATGAAGGAGAAAAAGTAACATCATAACCATTAACATTTAATCCTTTTTCTACTATTTCACTTAGGTCTTTATTAGGCGGTAGTGTAATACTAGGAATTAAAGAATTAATAATAACTCCAGATGAACCTATATTTATTCCGTAACTATCCGCATCAGCAAAGTTATAGAATTCACTAAAATATTTTCTATAAAAAGAATTTTTGGTAAAAGGAATTAACTCTTTTATCATTCCAACTGTTGCAGCACTATTGTTACTGTTTCTATCGAGATTAATGTTTAATATTTTTTTATTGTTTGCATTAATATCAACATTATACGCCACTTCTGTTGGTTTAATATCAAATGCGGTGTGATAGTCGTAAACTTTATCTGGGTCGATATTGCTAAATGTACCCACAATACCATAAGCAATCATGTAAACCCCCTGAAAAATGTCCGGATATTTCATAATGTTATATCCTCTTTTTGAAATATTAACAAGAATGTGAAGAAAGAACTTATTACCAGATGACAACTTCCGGAAATTAACTATTATTCTATGGTAGTACATAACTTTTGTTTGCCCTTTTGGATCAGTATACCTATGGGATAGTTTTCTTATACCTACATTTCCAATTGATAATCCTGTTGAAGTTCCTTTGTCAACACTTATTTGAGTCTTATCCCAAAGAGTATAATCTGTGTTGAGTATTTCCAAACACAACGTGTAATCAGTATTTGCAGGTAGTCTGTAAAAATTAATTCCCATCTTATACCTATATTGACCTTGGCGATTTTTTAATATATACATGAAAATAACTTTGTGATTATAATCGTGAAAGTTGCCTTTGTTTGGTGGTAAGTCATCTATCCTATTTATAACAAAACTAACTCCTCCATCTACTTCATCAGTCCATTGAGCCGCACTTGACATGAGATAAGCAAACTGATCCTTGTAATGACTTGGTTGAACTGCTGTACTATGAACTAGTTTATCAACATAATCTTTGGTTACCGCATCACTGTTGTGGAGTGGTTTACCAATATTTATTATTTTATTACCACCAGCATTAAGTTCTCCAGTCATAGCGATGGAACCATCTTTTTCCGAGTAATCACTTAAATCTGGGGCAGCTGTGTTATCATCAACATACTTTTTGGTTGCGGCATCTGTATTTGATGTTGGAGTTGCGAGACCAACTATTTTATTATTACCAACATTAAGGTTACCAGTCATAGTTACGGTACCATCTTTTTTCAAATAATTACTTAAATCTGGACTTCCAGCATTATCATCAACATACTTTTTGGTTGCAGCATCTGTGTTTGACACTGGAGTTGCGAGACCAACTATTTTATTATTTCCAAGATTAAGGTTACCAGTCATAGTGACGGTACCATCTTTTTCCAAGTAATCACTTAAATCTGGGGCAGCTGTGTTATCATCCACATATTTTTTGGTTGCAGCATCTGTATTTGATGATGGAGTAGCGAGACCAACTATTTTTTTGTTTCCAAGATTTAGGTTACTAGTCATTGATACACTTCCGTCCTTTTTTATAAAAGAATTAGTATCAGGTATTAAGTCATCCACATACTTTTTAGTTGCAGCATCTGTGTCATTTGCTGGTTGTTTTAAATGAATTATACCTTTATTATCCATGTTTAGATTATTAGTCATTTTATTTGTTCCATCAACGTGGAGATACTTCAATTCTGTGAAAGCTAATGGTGTTGGTTGTTTGGGACCCGCTGGAGCTGGCAGATTTAATATTCGATTATTGCCCATATCTAGATTTCCAATCATTTTTCTTGTTTCATCTAGTTTTAAAAAGACACTACCATCAGCTGGTCCACTGGAATTATCATCAACATATTTTTTTGTAGCAGCATCAGTATTAGCACTAGGTGCACCAACATTTCTTAGTTTTTTATTTATCATATCATAATTCCCACTTGAAGTAAGATTAAATCCAACTCCTGGAGCACCTTGAATTCCCCTAGCAAAGGGATGATCAAGAGATTGTTCGTTAAATATACCCATTTTAATTATTAGTTTATATTACCAGTAAAGTTTTTTGCAATACGTTTTCTTGGTTTATCAACGTATAAAAATGAATACGGTTTTTTAGTTGCTGCTTTATAATCTTCTTTATTAACTCCCAACTCAGATGATATTCTGTTGGATTCCCTCGGTGATGGAAATTCATACAGGCAGTAATGAGAACAATTCAGCTGAATGTCCTTTGGAGTTTTATAAAACGATTGACTGAGGTACACCACCGAACAATTCTTATGTCGTCCTTGAATAAAATAATCTATTAACTGTTTCTGGTTTTTATCGCAAACATAGTCATCGAATATCACCAGTTTTTGATTGTCTTCATAATCCATTTCTGATACTGGGGTTATTTCATTATTACTTACATGAAGTATTTCATATCCCAGTTTACTACTCAACTCCCTCATTTTCTGAATTAGCTTTTGATACTTATCCTGTTCTAGATTACGCGCGTAAAGATAAATCTCATCATAATACAATAGTGGTTTAATTAACATATGATATAATAGATTAGTCTTACCGCATCCACTGTTTCCACAGATTAACATCCGAAATGTCTCTGATGGCATGTAAGGAAATAACTGTTTATATTTTTTATCTAGGTTGTTACTACTATCATAGTTTGGTATTTCCATTTATCTAATGATTAAATAAAATGGATGTTGAAGAATACAAAAAACTTGCAAGAAATAAGATTGAAGCTGATGCTTTGACTCGACAGGTAAGAGATGTAATAAAAATAACAAAATAGGAAAAACAAAATATGAGAGAGGGTTTTAAAGAAACATTTAAACCACTTATTAAATCTCAAGATAGCATTAAAAAAAGTATTGATGAGCAGCAAAACGCAACTATAGCACAACTTAAAAAAAAACAACTTGCTCTTACTCAAGGTTTTGAACAGTTTAACCGATTAGCTGATATGAGGGAATTACCATATCCCAACGAAGAAGGTTGGGATAGAGATTGGTTACCAGAACCTACAATATCTAAACCAAGATCACCTACACGTTATAACATTGAAAAAAATCTTGACGTTGCTGATTTAGAAGTATTAAGAATTATGGATTATCCAAGACCAAATGATTTTTTTGATACTAACCCTGAAAGACTTAGAGAAATACATGATGAAGTAAAAAATGATGTAAAAGTTTTTACAGGAGAAATAGCTGGTTTGAAGAGAAAAAAACATAAAACAGAAGAAGACGAAGAAGAAATAGAAAGGATTAAAATGCAAAAAGATTTACTACATAAATACAAAAACATTCTTAAACTTTATTTAGATTCGCTTGAGTATCAAATGGGAGAAGGAATGATTTACTTTAACAACCCGCATCAACTTCTAGACAGACTTGAATTACTCGGTGGTTCAATTCTTGCTGGGAATAATGGTGTAATACCTGAGTTTTCTCAAATAGTACATCTTCTCAACCAAATGAAAGTGATCTAAAAAAAAAACAACTAAATAATCTACTAAAAAGTTATATAGCAATTATATAAAATGGAAGAACGAGCTATCCACATTTCCTCAATAAATAGGGAAAAAAGAGGAGTAAGCAGACCTGGTGATTTTACTATTAAGTTTAATCCATCTTTGAAACTTGACCCTGATAAGAAACACCAACTTGCTCTTGATCGACTATCCATGACTTACTCTTGGTACAACATTATAAGTGATTATAAAAACAATACAATCAAATACACCCACGATGGATCCACCTGGCAAACAATTACTTTTACAGATGGAATGTATTCCTACTCAGATATTAATGATTATATTCATCAATACATGGATCAAAAAAATCATCACTCAACAGATTCAAGAGGAAAAAAGGAGTATTCAATCAATCTAACTTTTATTCTCTCCACATATCGAATTTTACTTTCAGTTAGTAATAACCATCAACTTGATCTGAGAGGAACAGAATTTGGAGGCCTAATTGGATTTGAAAAAAAAATTGTTACTAAAACAGAGTATGGAACAAAACTACCAAATATCACAAATTCGATTGATGTATTAAATATCAACACAACCGTAATAACTGATAGCATTGTAAATGGAATAAACACAAATACCATTGCTGTGGTACCAACAGACAATCTCACAAGATCTTATCCATTTACGTTTGAGCCTAAAAGACCTTTGTATTGTCCTGTATCTAGATACCACATTGATGAAATGAGAATCTATGTGACAGACTCACTCGGAAGACCAGTAAATTTTAACGGTATAGATTGGTTTATGACTTTGATACTCCACTCAATGTAAGCGGGGGCACCTACGGTTCCCCCTGCACCCCCCTCCCTTTATAAGAATGAAGTTAATTTTGGAACACCCCTTCCCTTTTTTGTATAACTATTAAATTAAAATGATGAGACAATCAGAGTTTAAAATGAAACTTGACCCTGAATTGGGTAGATATACAAGACGACATATTTATGGTGAAGGAATGATGGATGTGTTTAAATCGGTTGGTAAAAAAATATTTGGAAAGACAATGAAAAAAGCTGCTAAAAAAGGTGCTCAAAGAGCGGTAACAGCAGCTGCAACAAAAACTGGTGAACATGTTGGTAAAAAGGCTGGTGATAAGATAGTGCAAATGTTATCCAAAAGTAATAATAAACCAAAAGTTACTTTTAATAAAAATGTTGAAACAATTCCAAACAAAACAATGACTCAACAAGAGATAAATAAAAGAGTGAATGCAATTCTTAGTGGAGGTTCAACACGTAAGAGAAAATTATATAATTATTAAAATAAAATGAAGTCTTTTAGAAATCCAAAATATTTAGAAAGATATGAAGATGTTGTTTTTGACCTTGAACAAGCTTTAGCCGCACCTGGAAATGGTGCTCATCAAATTAAAACAGGTCATAGATTTGTTGCTGATAACACAGGNATAAAAATGTTGAAACAATTCCAAACAAAACAATGACTCAACAAGAGATAAATAAAAGAGTGAATGCAATTCTTAGTGGAGGTTCAACACGTAAGAGAAAATTATATAATTATTAAAATAAAATGAAGTCTTTTAGAAATCCAAAATATTTAGAAAGATATGAAGATGTTGTTTTTGACCTTGAACAAGCTTTAGCCGCACCTGGAAATGGTGCTCATCAAATTAAAACAGGTCATAGATTTGTTGCTGATAACACAGGAGAATCTACTCCTTTTGATTGGTATAACGCGCGAATTTCAGCAGATTTCAAAGTTAATCAGCTGGCTGCTGGAGCTGATATAGATGCAGATGGAGATCAAATAGGAATAGTAAATGGCAGTAGTTCTCTCATAGAAAAGTTATCCATCCTAGCAAATGGTAGAGATGTTTACAGTTGCAACTATGCTAATCATGTAGTAAATATTAAGAATTTACTTGAGTATAATCCATCTTATGTTGAGAGTGTTGCCACAAATGAATTTTACTATCTTGATACATCAAGAAATGCTGAAAGAAATAGATTCACAAAAAGGCAAGTAACTCACAGACGAAATGCAGCTAATAACGCTGATGAAGCAGGATTGATGATAGATGATGTTGAAGCTAATTATAACAAAGGTTTTGCAATAAGAAAAGCACTATTAGGCGACTCAGCAACAGTACGATGTGAAATTCCTCTTAACAGATATTCTTTCTTTGAATCATTACAGGAGAAACTTCTTCCAAATACAAAAATTGAGCTGAATATAGAACTAGAATCGGATAACAATCTTATCTGGCGAGCTGGAGGAAACAATTGTAGAGTTATACTAACAAGATTTCAACTATTTGTTCCAAGATTAACATTTAACTCAGAAGGACAAAAACTATACATGGAAAATTATCTTAAGCCCTACAAATGGGTGTACCTCAATGAACAGGTTGAGCGGTCAAATAACTCTCAACAGCAAACAGGTCATTTTAGAATTACAAATGCCATCTCAAAACCTCGCCATGTCTTTGTTTTTGGAATTAACACAGCTAATATTGATTCACAAACAGCAAATCCATTTTTATACAATACTTTTAATCTGCCAAACAATGCCAATATATCTCGCTGTTATCTCGAGGTTGGAAATGGAAATGAGTACCCTGACATTCACTTTAAACCAGCTAAAGATCCAGCAAGAGTTTTGAGAGAAGTAATGGGTTATGTTTACGCAAATAACGACTTTCAAGGTGGAACACTACTTAATAGAACAAATTTTGGGTCTTTGTTCCCGTTTGTTTACTTTGACTTGACAAAACAAAAATTGGATATAAAAGATGGAGTTACAAAATTATCGTTTCATTATGAATTATCTGCTAATCCAAACGCTGATTATAATAGCTACGCTTTAATACTTCACGAACGAGTGGCAGAAATCGAACAGCAAGGAGGAAAACTATTGCTTCGTGCATAAGGGAACCTACGGTTCCCCTATAACCCCTCCACTTGGTTACGCCGCATATGATTTAATATAAAAATAAAATTAAAAAATGGTAAATCCTTTTAATATTTATCCACCAGTAACTTTAGAAAAATATCCTTTTTTAAAAGAAAATAAATACTTTGAATATGTTATAAACTTAACTCCACCACAAATAAAAGAATTTGGAGAAAACAATATTATAACTTTAGACTTCACATCTAATAAAGAACCTTTTAAAGTTTTTCTTACAAATACCCAAATTAAAAAAGTAGAAGTTGCAAAAAGACTTAATAAAAAAGTTGATTTAAAGTTCAGTACAACTCAGTTTAAAAAAACTTTACCTTATGTTACTAGATTAAATCATTCTTTGATAAAGCAACGAGCTAAAGACCGACTTGAGACTTTAAAAACAGAAAATGCTAAGAAAGCCAAAAAATTAAAGTCTTTGAAAACTAAACAGGGTAAAATTAATTTTGATACTATTATTAAAAATACATTAAAAAAATATAATGAACCTAAACCTAAGAAGGAAAAAATAACAGATTTAATTAAATTTCCTGAAATCAATTTAATATAAATATTATAATAAAAAATGACTACTTATTTTGAATACGGTGTAACACTTACAGATGGACAAAAGTCAAAATTGGCTTCTGCAATATTAAATAAATCACCACTAACTCTTCGGTTAAAACATTCACATCTTCGAGGTTCTGATGAGTTAATGTTAACACAAAGACAAATTGCTAAAATAAAAAAATCTATTGCTAATGGAACAGGATCAGATATAAAGATAAGTAAAACACAGATTAGACGTTCTGTTAAACATGGAGGAAACTTATTTCTTCACTCGCATCTCTTGGAGCAAAAGTACTACCATATGCAATGAAAGGAATTTCAAAAGCTGTTCCTGCATTGGCAACTGGTGCTGCAACTGCACTTGGAGAACTTGGAATAAATAAAATATTTGGAAAAGGAATTACAATTCCCCCACAGTTTTTCCCATTATTACCACCTCTTGTAAGAGAATTTACCAAATCACAAATAAATCAAATTAACAAAGCTTATAAAACAGGTGGTCGATTAGTTATAAAACCAACTCGTAGGCAGATAGAAGGGGGATTTCTTGGAACTCTTGCATCTATTGGAATTCCAATGGCAATTAGTTTAGTATCTAAAATGTTTGGATCTGGACTGCAAGTTGATAGACGTGGATCATCAAATACAGCAAATGTTTACGTTCCACATCCTCCTCCACCCACACATGGTGAAGGTTATCCTTACTACCCACTACCCTTTATCGGTACATGGAAAAACCCAATTGGAATGGGAGTAAAAAAAAAGTCCAAGTCCAAAGGAAAAGGACTACTACTAGGAAAAAACAGCCCATTCAACTCAATTCCATTAATAGGAGCCATTTTGTAATTAAACCACTATCCAATTTCGACCTCATGGATTGGGTAAAGAAACTTGGTATTAAACATTTTAGAGGAATATATAGTCGTGATAGACTACCTCATAAGATAAGAAAAGAATGTGGAATAATCAATCTAGATGATATAACTGGCCCTGGAACACACTGGGTTTGTTATAGAAATATAGACAATGTAGTTGAGTACTTCGATCCATTTGGTTTAATAATGCCAAATGAAGCATTAAAGTATTTTCATACTTCTGGAAAACGAATAGTTTACTCAATGGATGAAATACAAAATCGCAATACTGTTGTCTGTGGTTATTGGTGTTTATATTATCTGTTTGAGAGACAACGGGGTAATAGTATTCTAAACGTAATACATAACCCACATTTCGATAATGACAACAGCGATTTCATACAAGGGTATTTTGGAGGATAAAAAAAATATTTAATAAATATTATTTTTTTTATTCACTTTCCGCCGGTGTATCCTTTAGTTGCTTAACTCTCTCAACTTTTTTATTTAAATCTTTAACACTATCAACTATTTCATCAAATTTCGAATAAATATCAATAAGACGATAAAGGTTCTTCTTTTTATCACTATTTAAATTCAACCAAGAATAATCCTCATCTCTGATTTTTACCCACATCTCACATTCACCAGCCATTAGTATTCTAGAAAGATCGTCATTTTTCTTTCTAAGAGTCTCAAACTCATTATTTATTTGTGTTCGTACATCTTTCTCAAAATCTTTTAATGTTTTAACATCCATTTTTTTTTCTATCTCAGAAAAGAATTTGGCTTCCATTTATTATATAAATAGATAATTTCCTTTTACAATTTTATTAAGTTTAATTGATTTCTCACTTATTTCCATAAGCAACTCAAATACTTGTATAAATCTAGTATCATTTTCCAATCTAGCAAAATCAGCATATTCAAAACTCATGTTTAGGTTATTGTATATCTTTTGAAGTTCACTTTTTAGAAAATTAGATCTAGTAGACATATTTATCTAAACATTATACTAAATGACAGAATCATATTGTATTGTAGATAAAAGAGTAACTCCTTGCACAGAGCCAAGTGGTTATCAAAAAGATAAAAGAGGTAGAACTCAATTCTATTGTAGATGTGCAGTTTGTGGAAATAAAAAAGTTAGATATGTGAAAACTGGAACAGCTTCTCAAACTGGAAGTGGAAAAAAGAGAAAACGAAAGTCAAAAAACTAATCAGCCCGTCTGAAGGGGCGGGCGTCTTTGATACCGTTGTTGGTACAGCAGTTGATGGATTTGTTCATTACGGTTTACCTTGGATGGGTAAAAAAGCAGTTGAAATGGGGCGATATGGAGCAAGCGAGTTAGTGAGAAATAAAAATCTTCAGAAGAAAGCTGTAAATTATGGAATCAGTAAACTCACTCCATTTATTCAAGATTCTGTTGGAACAGCAATGGACCAGTTATCAACAAAAGTGAGACCAAAAAATAAATATAAAACTGATAGACCAGAATTGGATGGAAGAGGATTTGATGTTCACAAATGGATTGGAAAACTCCCAAAACCAAAAGCAGGATGGACTCCAGGTTCGTATAAATATATGGGCCCCTACAATCCTCTAGACAAACAATTAAGTTATGATCCTGAAACTGGAAAAGTAACAGAATGGAAAGTCAAACCATATAACAAAGTTGATGAAATAGCAGCTTATCACGACATTTGTTACGACATGGGAAGAAACAAAGGTGATTGCGATAGAGAAATGGTAAAATCATTAGATGATATACCCTATGGTGAAATGCCAAAGTGGGGCTCAACTGCTAGATTCTTAATTAATACAAAACAAAAACTTGCACTTGGTTTAAACGCGCGTCGGCGTTGAGTAGTGATTGGTCTCAACAATTAGCCGACGAACTTCACAAACCAATCACAAGAAACTTTCAAAAGAGATTAGTAGTCTCAAACGGGATTGATGATATCTGGGCTGCTGATTTGGTTGAAATGCAAAAGTTTAGTAAATGGAATAAAGGGATAAAGTATCTTCTAATGGTAATAGATGTGTTTAGCAAGTATGGATGGATTAAGGGATTGAAAGATAAGAAAACTGAAACTGTTAGTAAAGCATTTGAGGATATATTTAAGAGTAAACGTAAACCAAAGATGTTATGGACTGATAAAGGTTCTGAGTTTATCAGTAAACATTTCAAAGAGTTTCTGAAAAGAGAGGGAATTAAACTGTATCACACTGAAAATGAAGAGAAATCTAGTGTTGTTGAGCGATGGAATAAAACAATGAAAAACAGAATGTGGAAGATGTTTACTATGAATAACAACACTGTTTACTGGGATAAGATAGATAAAGTGGTTAATGACTACAATAATGCGAGACACTCTAGCATGAAAATGACTCCTCTTGAAGCTAGTAAAAAGAAAAATGAAAGTAAAGTTTGGTTTAATTTGTATGGTGATTCTATTTACGTAAAACCTGGTAAACCAAAGTTTTCTATTGGAGATAAAGTTAGAATTTTAAAATATAAGAGAAAGGTATTTGATAAAGGTTACACACCAAACTGGACAGAGGAGATATTTGTAATTGATAAAATTCTTCCAACAAAACCTGTTACGTATAACATCATTGATTTGACAGGAGAAGAGATTAAGGGTTCTTTTTACGAACAAGAATTACAGAAGCAAAACAGCAGACTTTTAGAATAGAAAAAATTATCAGGAGGGATAATAAAAAGAAAATGGCATTAGTAAAATGGAATGGATATCCTGATAAATTTAACTCATGGGTGAGTTCTAAGGATTTGGTTGATTTTTAATACAAATTTTGTATTAAAAATAAATCCTATAATTACTCAGTTTCTTCTTTATCAGAAATAACAAAGTCTTCAACTACTTGCTCAGTAACCTCTTCATCTTCCTCTTCATCTTCCTCTTCATTTGTTAGTAAAGACTCCTTAGGTTTTAATGGTTTGACAAAGCACTCATGTACTTTTATTTGTAAAGATGTTACAGTTTTACTTATAAAGATTCCTTCTATTATAAGTGCCATTTTAACATTGCAGTACTGATCAATATATTTAAAAGGATTTAAATCTTTCTTTCCCTTTGTTTTAAATAGTGAAAGAATTTTCTTAGATTTTTCTGAGTAAATCAGTTTTGCGTAAAGAACTGGTGCGGATGAGGGGTCTATTCTTGTTTTTTTCTTTCCTTNAAGAAAAATGAAAGTAAAGTTTGGTTTAATTTGTATGGTGATTCTATTTACGTAAAACCTGGTAAACCAAAGTTTTCTATTGGAGATAAAGTTAGAATTTTAAAATATAAGAGAAAGGTATTTGATAAAGGTTACACACCAAACTGGACAGAGGAGATATTTGTAATTGATAAAATTCTTCCAACAAAACCTGTTACGTATAACATCATTGATTTGACAGGAGAAGAGATTAAGGGTTCTTTTTACGAACAAGAATTACAGAAGCAAAACAGCAGACTTTTAGAATAGAAAAAATTATCAGGAGGGATAATAAAAAGAAAATGGCATTAGTAAAATGGAATGGATATCCTGATAAATTTAACTCATGGGTGAGTTCTAAGGATTTGGTTGATTTTTAATACAAATTTTGTATTAAAAATAAATCCTATAATTACTCAGTTTCTTCTTTATCAGAAATAACAAAGTCTTCAACTACTTGCTCAGTAACCTCTTCATCTTCCTCTTCATCTTCCTCTTCATTTGTTAGTAAAGACTCCTTAGGTTTTAATGGTTTGACAAAGCACTCATGTACTTTTATTTGTAAAGATGTTACAGTTTTACTTATAAAGATTCCTTCTATTATAAGTGCCATTTTAACATTGCAGTACTGATCAATATATTTAAAAGGATTTAAATCTTTCTTTCCCTTTGTTTTAAATAGTGAAAGAATTTTCTTAGATTTTTCTGAGTAAATCAGTTTTGCGTAAAGAACTGGTGCGGATGAGGGGTCTATTCTTGTTTTTTTCTTTCCTTTCTTATCTGTATATTCTTCTTGTTTGAAATAAAATGGTGAAGATAGAGTTGATGCTAGATCTGCACCGTATTCATTCTCTAAATGTTGCTGAGAGAAAGTTGTTACATTATTAATAACATCAAAAAATGCTTTTTCTTTACTATTTGGCTCACTATCTTTAGCCCAAAGACATACAGGCATACTATAACCTATTAACTTGTTTGTTTCTTGATTTTTCTTTTCGCTTACACCAAAGCTAAAAAGAACTGGAGTTTCAACTACCAAAGCTCCTTTCTTTCTATTTGGATATTTGACTTCAATTGGGATACGTTTGTATTTGATCTTGCTATCTTCCACTTTGAACTCTTTAGCTTCATTAAAGATAATATTGTCGGTTGTAAGATTTTCGTAACTTGATAACATCATTTTATTAATATTTAGTTAATCTTTAAATCTTTTTTTCTGGCCAGAGTAAATGGACAGACCAGAAATTACTCGATTCAGGATTAGTATAAGTTAACTCCCCCTGCTTATTTTTAATTTTTTTTTAGCTCTAGCAAGATATCTATCTCGTCTATCTTTGTCTTGGTGAATAGTATAATCTGGATAATTTGGTGAACCAAAATGAACTTTCTTTCCACTAGGAAGTGTTGCCATATATTTATTATTTTTATGTCTAGAGTAATCAAGAGATTGTGCACCAAGTTTTATAGCATTTTTGGTTAACTTTTTGAAATCTTTACCAGTAACAACATATTTATCATCATCAGATTGATATGAATCTTTTGGATTATAATCTGGATCCTCATCATGATTATATCCATCATCAACTATAAAATCCAAATCTTCCTTTGTAGGAATATCTTTTTTGGAAGTCATTTTATTATTTGATTAGATAATTTTCATATGTTTATATTTATCTTTATAATTATTAAGTTTTCTATCAACTCCTGGAATTCCATCCCAACTCAAATCATAATCAATCTTATTATTAGGTCTTCCTTCAAATTTAGAAAAAACAACAAAAGTAATTAAACTATGATAAATATTTGGATCTAAAAACTGTAATTTTTTCTTTTTATCTGTTTGTTGATTAACTACCTTTCTTTTCCACTTTTCTATTTCTGAAAGAGTTATTGGTCCTTTATCTAAATCATCTAGGTTAATTTTTTTTTACATCGTTGTATAAAAGTTGTCTTAAGATATATCTATTTCTTATTATATGTCTAAATGGAGGTGTTTCATCAAAATCTTCATATACATATAATAATTCAGGAAAAATATTATCATCTTCAAAATCAACTCCAAGTAATTCAGGAAAAATATCACCATCTTTAAATTTAAGACCAAGTAAAAATTTAACATTTTTTTCATATAATATTTTATTTTTAGGATAAAGATCATCATCTTCAAAAGTAATTCCATATCTATAATATCTATCTAATAACTTAAAATAGTCAATTTCGTCTAATATTTCACCTTCTGATTCATCATCATAAAGATCATAGTATTTATATATAGAAAACATAATTCTTTGATAAGGATGATTTCTTGTTAAATTATTAATTAATTTTAAATCAAAAGGCTTAATTTCCCAGTTTGATTTTATAATAAGTTCATTCATTTCAGGGCAGCATATAATCATTTTTATTTAATAACTATATTTTTTTAAGTTAATTTAAAAACAAAAAAAATCTAATGAATGATGTTTAAAAAATGGAATATTGTTTATCCTTCAAAAAAAGTTTATAATGAACTAAAAACTATTGAAAAAAATATCAAACCTTTTTATATTAAATTACCTAATATTTCTTCTTATCATTACACACCTTCTTTTTATAGAGATATTAATACTCTTAATAAAATAGAAGAAAGTGTAAATAAATTCAAAAAAACTAAGCTAATAGATAGTGAATGTTTTTTTCATGAAGAATTTCCAGCTATATCTTCATTTATTTACGAAGCATATTACTACGAAGATTCAGTTAGAAATTCTTCTGATAAAAAATTTATAGATATAGCTAACAATTTATTTAATAAAATAGATTGTTATAAATCTATGGATATATTTAGTAAAGTAGTAATCTTATAACAAAAAAAATGTTATAAGATTAAATTAATCACTATCACTATTGTAGATAATATCATCAAACTTATAATTTATTAGTTCGTAAAACTCTCTAAAAATCTCATATTCCTCTAGAAAATCACCATAATAATCATCAGACTCTAAATAAGTTTCCATTAAATTAAATATAATATTTATATTTATAACATCATGCTCTTTAAACTCAAAAGAACTCATATCATAGAGATAGTTTAGTTCTTGAGCTTTCAAAAACTTTCTTATCATATACAAGCTCCTATCAAATTTATTAGAAAGAAAAATATTACTACAATATACAATTTGATCAAGGTCATAATATTTATTCTTTATTTTATTAACAAGACTGTCTAATGATTTATCATTAGAAGAGATATTCATTTTTAAAATCCCTTGCATATTCTGGGATTTTATTAGTTTTTTTAATGCAATTCTGATAATTCGAAGAGTACGCCAGGACAACCATTTCTATAACTACTTACATCACCGGAATTTTCCGTTTTAAAACGCCTTAATCGTAGTTGCCATTGTATTGGTAAAGGATTACATAAATAAATTTGTTAGAGAGAAGTAAATACTTCAAACGTTTATTCGTTAGAAACCGGAAAATAAATGCGCCTGTGTTGTTGTTAGACACAGGCAAATTAATGCCCCGGTGTATTTTGAGAGACATAGGCGAATTAATGCCCCAGTGTGTTTTGTTAAACACAGGCAAATTAATGCCCCAGTGTATTTATTAGACACAGGCAAATTAATGCCCCAGTGTATTTGTTAAAAACAGGCAAATTAATGCCCCAGTATATTTCTTAAACATAGGCAAATTACGGTATTTGTTAGACACAGGCAAATTTAACACCCCAGCGTATTTGATGTATTTGTTAAACACAGGTAAATCAATGCCCCAGTATTTGTTAGACCCAGGCAAATAAGGATCAGTTCTTCTCTTGAAATATTACTCAGCATGCCTATATATTTTATTCTCAAGTTTACAGATATTTCCTGAGGAAAGATCCAGATTTTTTGTAAGCCGGCTTATATTTACACGTGTCGGGTTTATAACACACAAAGCTTAACATTTCTTCGAGTAAAATGATTAATTGTCCTGTTCGAATTCCCTCGGCTTTATTGATAGTAACGCCATAATGTTTAACAGTTTCATTAGCGACTGAGCTGGTCCTCATAACCACCTCTGAGCTTCAGCGAACATTAAGATCAAGACGATTAGCATCTTTATAGCGCCACGTCTTCGACATAACAGTCAGCTCGCATTTATAGCTAAAACGTTTTCTTTATGCCAAGATTTGTAATTACTCACCTTGCGGCCGTGATAATAATTATTTACCTGTTTCAGTGAAGATCACAAGATAGCCAGTATGTGCACAAGCGAAACTTAAACGAGATAAAATTCGTCTCGTATGTACGAAAGCCGAGAAGGGCCTTCCGACTTCCGACTTCCGACTTCCGACTTCCAACTTCCAACTTCCAACTTCCAACTTCCGACTTCGGAATTCCCAATTGCGCGAGATTGCGGCTGCTTAAAACGGAGTGAGTCGGATTGAAAAGCTTGCTAATATGGATGAGGAGCTGAGTTGAATTCTGTGTGTTAATAACCTTTTTGTATTTGGGGTATTTTCGACATATTTACAGTTAAACATTCAGACTGTCGACTGGGTTTCAAAGTAACAGTTAGAAATAGCATGTTCTCATACACAGGACACACGTTCATGCTTTCCCTGGCAAAAAAAATATCTAATGTGAGATAATAAAGGCGGTGGTTTTGAAAGATAATACAACACCGACAGAAAACAAAACTGGATGGATTTAAGCTAAGATCCTGTAGGAAAGTCACTGACCTTGGCGTCAGCACAAGGGATTACGTGAACTAACTAATTGTACGTGTAAATGCTGGGACGCAACAATAAACTGACGTATACATCTTGATATAAAATAGAGACAAATTTATTTGTTGGGTCGGTTGTAGTTGTGGAATAAAAATGTCTCCGCACTTATGCTTGTGCCGACAGTGTCAACAAGCATTTGAGTCTCCCTGCAGCTGTTTTATTTTGAACTCCGAAATAACATGCAAAGCTCTTCCACTAAAGAGGGAGCTTTGCGTGGATCAGCTTTATACCGCTTGTGCCCGAGTGTTTGTTTCAAAATAGAGAGATTTTTTTGCAAAAGGTTATTCTAATTTGCACCTTTACTGTGGCCACTAGTTGTATTCATATAAAACACCCTGGTGAATAATAATATGCTCATTTGAATCAGTTCTTAACCGTGTTGTCACCGTGACATCATTGCATCAAAAAAGCTTGCTTGTTAAAAAGATTATGCTTCTCATTTCAGCTCAGCGTTTTCCTGGAAGAACACTGTGTTGAATTGAAAAGAGTTTTTGAGAAGCATAAGGTTGGTTTATAAAGTCCAGTTAATCTGTTATAAAACGTCGTGTTTCAGGCGTGGGATTCAAATTTGTCTCCTGCCTCAGTCACGCAAGCTCCCGCCTCTCCCCCGGGGAGGACGGTAAAAACAAAGGTAGTACCTTAACAGATAAGCCCTTTCCAGCTAGCCATTCACGTGGTACAAAACCGCCGTGCTGGAGAGCAAAAGTCGCACTGGGACAAGACAAACAGAGAAAATTACCATTTACAGTTATATATGCTCCTGTGTATGTCTTTTGTTTGTCTTGTCCCAATGCGACTTTTGCTCTTCAGCGTGGCGGTTTTGTACCACGTGAAGAGCTAGCTGCAAAGGGCCTATTCAAGGCACAGGATGCGCAAGATGCCGAGTAACTCATTTCTTGGCCTATTGGCAAATAATAAACAACGCAAAAGGCGGGATGGGCAATCAGTGAGTCTTACAGAAAATGTTTGCAGTGCATCAGTCAAATCCAACTGCGCCGTGCCCCCTCCCTCCCGGGCTAACTCCTGGGCATTAGCACCTCTTTTTTCCTTGGATGGGAAATTCCCGGTGGCTGGGACATTTGAGATCTCAGGTAAATTAAGGCATGGGTCAACAGCAATTTTCCTGTAAAAATGAGGGGGGTGGTCTATAATATGAATGGTTTATCATGAAGCAGAAAATACCAAAAAATATTACACAACACCAAAATTGATGCTTTAAAACAGACCAAAATTATGCAAATTAGGTCACGTGACCTTACAGCTCCTCAAAGTTTGAAAATATCTTTAAGAAAAAATGGGCACACTTTTTAGTAAGAGTTATCTTACTTTACTACCCTAAGAAGGTACAAAATATAAGCCGCTACAAAACTGTGCTTGGCACCTCTCAAATATCTCATCTATTTTCAAAATAAACGGGTTTTTCGACTAGTACCCAGTCTCCCAATACAAATGTATCATTTTAACGTGCCTTTCCTTTGAAAACTCTTGACTTTGCCAAGCGCAGAAATGACATACTTAACGGCCTTAAAATTATGAAACTAGTAGAAAAATGAAGGAAACAAGAAAAAGTGTGCCCATTTAAGTTCAAGGGTTTGTTTGGGCGTGGCGTGTCACGTGACCTTATTTGCATAATTGGAGCATACCAAATAGATAAAAACTAGCCGTTTATGTGCCTGACAAGTTTTCAGCTTGCCACTGCTAATGTATCGAAAGATAGACCACCCCCCTACTTTTTGACTTAACACCTGGGGACCCATGCCTTAATTACCTTGAGATGTCAAATGCCCCGCGGTGGGGACGAAAAAAGAGGGCAAATGCTGCGTCCTCAATCCACACTGTAGCAGTGTTCATTGATCGCGCGGTCGAATTATGGTGTGTCAGTTAATGTCTGCCTTTGTAATAGCGACAAACCATTTATTATCTTTCTTTTATGAAAGTTCGCGGTAAGAAAGTGCCATAAAATTGAAATCAATAATAATGCATGAAGCGATCTGTTCTGAATTGTTTTAATAATATGAAAGGAAGCTCTTCAATAATTGATCATACATGATCATAGGATTAAAATCATTACGCCTAAACTTTAGTCAAATCCTAGATCAAAAGAAATTGAATTCATCAAGGCAATAGCTCCCGATTTCGCAGTACAAGTTGTGTCTTGACATTTAGCAATGAAAAAATGCATGCACAAAATCGGGAACACATGCCTCTAAAAACCTCTACAAGTTTTTCGCGTTCTTGATAGAAGAGATAAAAAAAAAGGCAATAAAGGATTTTTTTATGTAATAAAGAACAATAACTATCCAATGAATTACGTTCACAGAAAAATTGTGCCACCTGACCATGTTTTCCCTTTACTTGTCGTTTATTACTCAATTACTCAATATATTATATCTTTGCCACAAAAGTAATAAGTTGCTCCATGTCTCTTTCATCCTCATGATTTATTTCGCGAACAATGTATATGCGGCCATTTCCGAATTTCAGAAGTTTGCCGTTATCGTGACCCTAAATCTATATATGGTTTATTTACGACGAAAGGACATACGCCGTATCTTTTGTTTTTACACTTTATATTGTCAGGTGTACAGTTTGCCTGCTGTAAAAATGATCTCAGACGCACAATTTGAGACGATGAGGTTAGCCATCGGGCAAATAACTGTGTTGAAGGCGTTCCTGGAAAAGCCAGTCAGAGGTATGGATTTACTAAAATGTTATTCACTTGACTGTAAATACTGAAAATTTCCGGCTGGCTATCGTAAAATAGTCAGAATATAGCAGAAAGTAGGTTAATTTTAATAAAAAAATTACACCGTTAAAGCCAGTTAACAGGAATGGAAACCAGTTTCCGCATCCTTTTCCAATAAAACAAAACCACTTTTGAACTAACTTTCTTTAATGACGACGAACGGTGTTCCCTCCCCAGTAATCTGTCAACATGAAGAAAGGAGAACCTTAATTATATACGTTTTATACGGAGAGGCTCCACAATGAGGTCCTACCCCTTCCCCTTTTATCAATACCCGATTATTAAGAGAAAAAGTAGCGCTCTTTTTATACCTTCCAAACTGCTGTAAATGCGCTGTCTTTGAAATATGAAGAGACTGCAAACCAGACAGTTTTTTTCGACTTTTTAAAGATATGAAATGCATCTGTAATCCCTTTCGGGCCTTCTTACAAACCGAAAAGACTTGATTTCCCAATCCTTTCATATGGTTCCGGCAACAAGTGAAATCCCTACCCTTTTTACCTGAAGCCTGAGAAACGTAGCCCTTTGGGCTGGAGCCTTCCCGTACAGACAAATGTAGGGAGTTTCCCCCAGGTACTATAGAAAAATTGTTAGGATCCCCCTGCACTTCAGGTTATAAACAATAGGGCCATTCATACGAGGAAAAATAAGACGCGTCTTACATAAGACACGTCTTAAATAAGACGCGAACTTTCCGTATAAACGGCACATTTCGTCTAAAATAAGACGCGGCTTAGCTAAGACGCGTCTTA